CTTTCCCTAAATTGTTCCTTTGCTCAAGCACCCTCCTTGTACTGGGTGGTGGACACGGGGAGGAGCTGTCTTCTCCCTCCTGGCAGCTGCAGTTGTGCCTACATCAAAAATCAGTGGGAACTCATATGACAGTACGAGGGAAACGGTGGCAAATTCAGGTCAATCTGCTCCAAGGAGAGAGGGGCTGGAGGTCAGAGCTGGAATTTGTTCAGATCCCCCAGCCCCGCTGTGCACACAGCGGCCAAGTGATACCACTGGCATCCTTGAAGCATTACTGGAAGGATGTGATAGGTCCTGGTGACTCCAAGCCGGGAAGGAGGGGACACGCTGCATGGCAAAGCTGTGCCTTCCAGAAGAAGGCAGATCCCCCTCTCTGCAGGAGCACGGCGTTCCCCCAGCCGGGAGCCAGAGGGCACCCGGGTAGCCAGGCACATGGAGGGGAAGATGGAAAAGGTGAAGACCTTCCCCTGCAGGCCAGTCCACTTGGAGAACTGGAGTGCAAGATGCTTTCTGCCTGTTTCCTGTGCAAAAAACCCACTCTCCCAGCTCGGAGATTACAGCAGCAGTGATGGGTCTTTCTGGGCCACGAGCCCACTGCTTGGAGTCTCCAGGGCAGCGCCTGGACTGGTTTGATAGACTGGAACGGGACCCGTGAATGCGTCCAGATAGATAGACTGCTGCTGAGTCACGGCGGCTGGGAGGCCTCTGTAGTTCCCCCCTCCCCTCTAGCAGGTCGCGGCATACACCCCATTGCTCCTCCCCATTTCAAAAGGAAGGAAAAGGCAAGCCACAGCACTCCGCAGAGGAGCGAGCGCAACAGAGGTGTTCAAGACATCTGCCCTCAGAAAGGCTCCCTGCCAGTTCGCCCCAGAACGCTTAGCAGAGAACAGATCAACTCGCCTCAACAGTGAGCAGCCAACGGTTTCCCCATTCCACCAGGATGGAGAATCAGCAGCACAGCCCCACAAAGGAGCCGGAGATCGAGCTTTTTGTGAAGGTGAGTTCCCCGAGGCAAGTTTGCTTATTAGCTGTTGCCTGTGGACTCATCCCAGGCAGGCGGGCTGTAGCCTGTCTTTTCCCAAGTCAGTGTTAATCACCAGCTGGTTTGGGGCGGTGGAAGTTTGTGAGTGTCTTCATGTTTCAGAGTCTGGAGAGGAGCGCCAAACTGAGGGTTGCTTGCCGTAAAGACGGGCTAATCTTCCTGAATACACCTGCCTGTTCTCAGAGCCTGGGCACAAGGGATGTCCGGAGCCTGGCAGGGAGGGTGCCGAGGAGGCTTGGGCTTGGGCAGAGGCAGGGTGTCGTGCCCGCTCCACTCCCCCTGGGGAGCCTGGCAGCACCCAGCTCTGGGTGCTGGGTTAGCTTTCGTGGCGGTCGCATACGTCTGGGGACCGGTGTGGTTGGTATGAAGGAGCAGGGCAGGCGCACGTGTGCTTCTTGAAACCCAGATAAGTCTCAGCTCAGGAAAAGCAGGCTGGAGTGTTGAAATGAAAGAGAGCAGCGACTTCATTTTTTCCTTTGAACTGCAGTTGTGAAACAGACGCTGGATGGCTCTGGGAGCCTGTGTGAGTGCCCACATGTGGGCGGATAGGGAGGGATGGGATGGCTCCTTAGGTCAGCCCAAGGGGATTATTCGCTGGAAATGTTTTTTCCTCTGTTAAGCAATTTTTCAAATACTTCCTCTGGAACATTTCAACACTCTTGTTCAAAACATTTGCAGCAAACATGCAGGGAATAGAAAGAGAGGAGCCAAGGCTGACAGCTGAATACTGGATAAGCGCGTAGTGGCAGAGAGGCCCTGGGACAGGATGTGGCCCTGGGCACGCTATCATGTTACAAGCAAGTGGGAGAAGAGCAACGCCGCTGCGTGCCACTGTGTCGCGGTGTTAAGGGCAGTTCTCCAAGCAGCCTTTCAAGCCCTGGGCAGCAAACCGCTGTGAGCTGTGCAGTCTTCACTCCTCTTCTACTGAGACAGCTCAGGGTCTGAAAGGACCACGGCGTCTGTCCAGAAGAGCTGGTTCCCCACTGGTACGGCCGCCTGACGCACCCCCACCAGCGCTATGTGCGGGTCTGCACTGGCGCCGCACTTCAGGGCCTTGCTTGCAGAGGGATGTAATTGGAAATAAGTGTTTGTCAGAGAGGATTATCTGTTGGCTTAGCAGAAGAAAGTCTCTCCCATCCCCTTGCTGAAGCTGTGGCCACAAGGATAGTTGCCAGACACTGAGCTTCGCAAGGCTGAATTCAGGCAAGTGTATTTTCTTGGTGAATGCAACTCAGGTCTTAAATTCCCTCCTTACAGTCCACTTTCCCCCCTAGGATGCCTGGGGCAAAAAGGAAAATGATATACAAGGTTACTATAATGGCTGCAGAAGGTTTAAGGGGGTTTCATAGGGAAGAGAAACAGAAAACAAAGCAGCAGCTTAGTCAGGACTTCCCCTAAATCTTAATTTAGCACTGAAAAGCCCCTCTGACAAGTTAGCAGACCAATTGATGCCATATCTCGTTCTCCGACTCTTCAGGACACAGATTTATTGAAGTCATGGCACCCCACATGTCTCCCAGGCTGCAGTCTGTCCCCTGAGACACCACTGCTGGCATCAGTGGTGACAACCATAAATCAAGGCTATCCCGGGATGGGTGCTGCCAGCGAGCCAGTGCTCGTGTGAGTGCACTGGCTTCAAGCGTGTACCAGTGCGCAACATCTTCTTGGGGCCTGGCAGAGCTTTCAGCAAATGCCAAATTAACTTGGCAAGGATGGGGAGGGAGTGAGGCAGCTCCCTACATTGCCTTTGGACCTAGGGGTGGCAGTTCCCAAGAGCCTGTTAATAATTTCTCATACTTCCCCCCTTGTCATCTTCAAATGCTGGGAAGGGCCCGGGGTATGGCTAGCTGGCATAACCACTGCTCAGCTGCTGTGGTAGGCCTTGTGCAGGCATGTCCCACTGGAGAAAGCCCTGCAATGGCGAAGCTGCAGTCCCAGACATGTCTTCTCCAGGGAGCATAATCCAGCCATCCCACCTAGCAGTAGTCCTTGGGGCAGCAGGCAGGTGTGTGTCTCCCCGCCTGGTGCCGTCAAGAGGAGGCTTGATCCTTCATACTTAGTCCTGTGAGAGGTTTAGCCAACCCCAAGACTACTTTCCGATTTTCTGGGTAGGCATAGGAATTGTGGGCAGGCCACAGAGGACTGGGTGGGTGTTGAGCAAATCTAGCCAGTGTCAGCAGTGCCCCAGACATGCTCATTGCCTCCCTCCTCCCATCATGTTTCATGCTGTTTCACCAAGGGAAGAAATATGGGGGCTTCTAAGCAGCTTTGGGTGTGTAACATCTTGTGCAGTCAACTCCCTGCAAAGTCTCAGAGAGTTAGGGCTAAAAGCCCGCACCTCCCTGGAAAAGCTGTGCTAGCCCAAGCCTCCTCCTCTGCCCCAAACATCTGCCCATGTCTAGCCCTCTGGTATCCTTTATTACAGGGATCAACACAGACCCCCCACAAGACTGACACCCCCCATCCCATGCCAGCTACACTTCCATGGCCAGGCATTCAGCAGCCCTCAGTGGCATCACCTCTGTACCTGGATGCCCAGCTGCATCCCATAAAGCAGCCCCACACTGACTCACCCAGGGAGGAGGGGGTTTGAAAACCCAGGACAGAGCTATTTTTTCCATCATCATGCTGTGATGGCTCTGCAACTCCATCCTCCCAAGAAAAGACTGGAGGGCTGGAAGGGAAACCAATGAGGAAAGTCTGACTGGGAGAGCTGCAGGCTCTGCCTTCCCCCAGCCCGGGGTGCCAGGCTGCAGCAGAGGAAGAGGTGCTCTCTGGAGAAGGAAGCAAAGAACAGAGACTTCCCCTCATTGCTGCTTGGTCTTTGCTGGGGAGGGGAAGCACATGGCTACAGGTTTCTCCAGACCTCTTTTCTCTGAGCTCCCTAGTTTTTGAAGGCAGCTGAGTGCACTGTGCCCTCCACGGCCGTGGCGTGTCACTGCTCTCTGGGCTTGCTGGGCCAAGCCCCAGCCCTTTTCCTCTCGGCAGCACCCGAGCACTGGTAGAGCTGCCCCTTTTTCTTCTCGATAAAGATTTGCCTCTGAGCATCCTAGGATGAGCCTAGTTTAATTTTTTTTCTGCAGAGGCTATCCTGGTTTTCCTTTTCTTCTATTCTAAAATCACCCACCCTTCTATTTTTAAAAGACAAGGGGGAAAAATCACCCAGAGCTGTTCAGAGGTTGGAGTTACAAGGCAATTGTGGAGAGGCCTGAGATGGGTCAGCACAGCCCGGGCCTAGAGTAACACCATCCGTTGGTGAGGGACATCCAGTCTGCCCCTACTGCCTTGTCCATCACTGTCATTCCTCCCTGTGCCTTGCGTAACTCCACCTGACACAGGGCCGCTCATTGTGTTGGCTCAGCACAACAGCTCCTGTGCAGTTGACAAGACAAATTGCTGTTAAGCCCTCTCGCTCCCCAGCCTCCTACTGATGAAGGAAAGCAAGGGGGAGCACAACCAACTGGCTCCCCTCTTCTGCCACCCTGTGCAGCTCTGCTCCCAGCAAGGGACGTCTCAGGGGAACAAGAAGGAAAGTATGAAATTCACGGTCCGTTTAGTAGTCAGTCCTCACACAGGGCAGCCACAAAAGCACCTTCTGAGCTGTTGATCCTGGAGATGCTTCAAAGGACAGTGTTAGTTTTGACTTGTAACTGCCATGGATGATGGACTGTGGAAGGGCAGTAGACATACCCATTAGTATGACAGCAGGTCAGCCCTCGTGGCTATTTTCCGATTATCTCCCCTCCAACTCACCCCTAGGACATTTGATACACCATTTTATCCATTTCAAATCAATTCTTATTTGCCAGAAGCCAACACCGGAAGCATACTAGTGATTTATGACCTTTATGCCAAAATGGCTCCTGGGCAGAAGCCACCCAGGAACAACTCTGGTGGACTCACAGCCCTCCCTGCATGGCCTGACTACCCAGCTTGGTGGCAAGAGGGCCCACGCTCTCAGAGAGCTTTTCTGAGGGCTCTGGGGTGCTGCAGTCAGAGCAAGTGATGCCAAGAAGAGGCAGCAAATATCCACAGGCCCTGGGGCACACTGGAGTCAAGGCTCTAAGTGCTGTCAGTGAGATGCAGACTACATCTTCTTTTCATTTTCTTATTAATAATGAGCAAGTAGCATCAACAGGCCAAATTCCCTTCTGTGATGGATCTTGAAAGACAGGAGGAAAAGGGCGCAGGAGAGGTACAGGCGAATTTGCTGAATGCATCCCCTCAGGCCGGGCTTACCTGCTGGTCTAATACGCACACGCTCCATTCCTCCCCTTCCTCCAAACACTGTTTCTATAGACACTATTTGCTGTGGTGACCCCCAGCTGCAATGCCATGCATGCTCAGAGGAGGGATGGCTCTTCAGCCCCTATAGGGCCCTCTTTACACCAGTGAAAACATGCTGATGCTCAGGACCCTCACATGGGTTTATCCCAGAAGAAACTTGAGCAAAGGAATGTAGTGACTTTTTCTCATGACTTTTTCTCATGAGTGACTTTTTCTCATTTTTCTCATTTTTTTTTCATGACATTTGAGAATAAGAAATACTGGTTTAAAAATCATTTGCATCCTTTTGAAAGGGTGGCTGGTTTTGGTCTAGCAGAAAAGCAGACCATAACCTCCACCTGACTGCTCTGAGTGTTAGTGTTTTCTTATTTTGATCAGTTTACTGTCTTCTTTAGAGTGAGTTTTAGGCCAGTGTAACTCTCCCAGAGAAGCTTGAGCATTCCAGTGTCCAAAGGTTTCTAGGGATGTTATTCTTGCCTGCAACTACTTGACTTCTTTCAATTCCACCAGATCCTCCAAAATTTCATCATTTTCCTGCTTGGTCTCTGAACTTCTGCTTTCCTGTCGCTTTTCTGGACAGTCAGAAATCAAGCGTTATCATGAAGCCATGAGCCTTTCCCTCTACAGTTCATTTGCTATGTGTCCTCTGCCAGGAGGTGTACCAAACACAGGCCACACTGTGGGAACAGCATCCTTCCACAAAGGAGCTGGAGTGAGCTGTCCCTCTCTGCAGCACTGGGGCTTCCACACAAGCCGGAGGCCTACTGTGAAGGTGCAACTAGGAAATGAGTTTATTCTCTTAAACAAATTACATTTCCTGTGAGCTATTTTTCCTTTCATCCCATGGTGCAGCTCCCTGCTCTGAGCAGCATCTAAGCCAGTCTTCATGTGCTTAGGAGGAGCTGCCTGGTTCCTCTAGAGCAAATTCCTCTTTTGGAGCTTCAGTCCTTTTTGCAAAGACTATTGATACCTTCAGCTGCTAGTTAGCAAGGAAATTGGCCTGCAAATGGCTTCACTCCATCTACCACTGCTTTCCCTTGGGGTTACTGAATTGGCATCAAATGGGCAAAACCCTGAGGGAACCCTGATGGGACTTAGATAGGTTGTCCAAACTCCTGCTTTCCAGTGTCCTCACTGATGTTTGACTTCATCCTGGAGTTTAAAATACACTGCACAAAACAGGTCACAGAACAGCCCCCTGAGATAACGTGCTTCAAGAGCAGTTGCAAGGCATTGTCTGCAGAAGATGAAGCTTTAGAAATGGATATGTGGGTTCATTTCCCACTGATAGTGGGTGGGATGTTGAGAGCAGATTCACCTCCACACGGGCAAGCATGGACTGCCTGCTAGGAGCTGGTGCAGCTGCCGACACTTTTCCTATCTAGCAGCAGGGCCAGAGCACAGGTCCCACTTGGTAGATGGGGCTGGCAGCCATGCAGTTCCCAGGCCATGCTTCCCTGCCTCTTCTCCTCACAGAGGTGAAGGAAGCTGTTTGTGTGGCTCCTAGCCATCCTCAGCCTGGGGAATTTATGCCTGGGCTCTTTAAACACAAAAGAAAAAGAGTCGGATGCTAACAGCACAAAAACAAACCACTCTTTTCCTGGCAAGCATGAGCACATTTCCCTTTGTGTCCACCCTCTTAAGTCTGGCCTCCCAGCCAAGTAGACCCTCCCTTCCTCTCCCATCTATTATCAGTCACCCTCCACCTCCTTCCCCCAGCCTCCTCCTTCTCCCTGCTTTATCTCACATCCCTGGGAAAGGATCCGACCCCGGCCATCCTGAGTACAGTCTCCAGCACTTTCCAACGGCAGCAGGACCATGGCTCAGAAAGGGAGATCCTACAGCCGAGCCCCCCAGCACAACTGCCAGCTGCAGCTCCAAGACAGGGCTCACCTGAGATCCCTTTGCAGGGCAGAGCTACTTTAATGGGGTTACCTGAAGGACATGCTGACTCAGGCTGGGGCTCAGGGCTGTGCCTTCCTCCTGAGATCAGCTCTGGCAGCTCTCCACCTCCAAACAGCCCAGCTTTCTGGGCTGGGGCTTTGCAAAGGGAGAGCCGGTCAAGTGGGGTTGGCCCCTTCACCCCAGTGTACTGCATTCATGAACCTGGCACATGCATTCCGGACACAGCAGCCAGACCCAGAGGCACACGTTAGATGGAAGGTAGGTAGGTAGGTACACAGATAAACAAACATAGACCTTGTGATGAAATTCCTGCTGTCATGGGACTCTGTGCCAGCACCCCAAAACCTCTAAGTCTGCCTAAGTCTTGTCTGCAACCAAAAGGGACAGGAGAGGTCCTGCAGATCTGGATGGAAGGCAGTGTTATAGAGCTGCCCTCTCTCCAGCCCTCCGGAAGGTTATTCAGTGCACCCCTGTGAGGGCCCCAGGTATGGGGCCTGGATGTTAGGTTAAATCGCTGTTTCTCTGCTTTCCCTGCAGGCTGGCCTGGATGGAGAAAACATTGGGAATTGCCCCTTCTGTCAGCGCCTCTTCATGGTGCTGTGGCTCAAAGGAGTCAAGTTCAATGTGACCACAGTGGACATGACCAGGTGAGACAGCACCACAGCGCAACTTTGTGCCACCAGAACCTGTATGATGAGACAGCCCATGGCTCAGCTCTCCTCTGTCGGTGCTTTTCTCCCTCCCAAAAGCACCCTTTGCCTACATGGGCTGCCCCAGCCCTGCACCCTGCACCTTGCCCTGCACTGGAGTGTCACTGTGAGAGGGACAGCAGTGACAATTCCTGCCTCATGTTCCCTTGCCCACAGAGTGATCACACTGCATGGATGCATGGGATGGGCCAGCACATAGATCCATCCCTGTGCAAGCGCACACAAGGACAACAGCAGCTACCTGCCCTGCTGGATTGGCATGCAAGTCCATGGCACCATCAGGCTGGAGAGCGCTCCCCAGCCCTGAAAAACCAGCAGAGCATGCAAGCGGGGATGCTCCTGGCCCTATGCCCTCCCATGGACCCATCCAGGCCTTGTTCCTGGCTCCAGGGAAACTGGCTGGTGCAGAAAGTCTGCAGGCACTGAATCTGCTTATTTTCTCTGTTCCAGGAAACCTGAAGAGCTAAAAGATTTAGCGCCAGGCACCAACCCACCCTTCTTGCTGTTCAACAAGGAGCTGAAAACAGACTTCATTAAGATTGAGGAGTTCCTGGAGCAGACCCTTGGCCCACCCACGTAACTATAACTTACTCCTTTCCCCTTTCAGGGCCTGGAGGGCACTTAGCAGCATTGTACAGTGTTTGGCTGATGGGAAAACCAAAGCAGGGTGGTTGGAGGTTCCTGGGAACCAGCATGGGAGTGCTGGCTCTTGGCCCATCATGCTGACCTGTAGCCACACTCCTGCACCCTTGCGGGACCTTGCTCTGCAGGACCACAGCTTGCAATGCTGAGGAACTCTGTGTCTTCTCTGCAGCAGGTTAGGCTGCAAGGAAGCAGGGTGGCCTGGGAGAGAAAACAATGGGAGGAAGTGTACTGTTTGGCCCCTTGGTGCAGGTAGAAGGGGAAGGAGCAGGTGAGTAGGGGGATGTTGCTTGCAGGTGTGCAGGCCAAGAGCCCCAGGAGCTGGTGCGGTTGGTTTCGCAGCAGCTGGTATCAAAGGGTAGATGGGGAGTACAAGACCCCTTTTGCCTGCTTTTATCTGGTGCACTCAGCTTTGTCAAAGAAAACACTGCTGCTTGAATGTGGGAGTGCAGCTGGCCCAGAGGGTTGCTGGGGAAGGAATGGTCTCTGAGCTGAGGAGAAGAGCTGTAGGCCTGCTGCTGAGCGTAAAAATGGAGCTTTCAAATGCATCTCTCGCCCAGTTCCTTAGATATGTCTGCCCTTGTGGTGCACCCTGGGACACCTCAGCAACCAAAAGCCCTTCCCTGAGGAAGTCATGCGAGTTTCTGGCTTCCCCAGACCCCTCTCACTCCAGCATGCATCCTCCAGGCTCGGCCAGAGCTGCTGTGAGCAACCCCAGCCTGCAAGCAAAGCTCTGCTCTGGGGCCGCTGGCATCCTCCAACCCTGGGGTTACTGCAGTATGCTTTTTCCCAACAAATACCAAAGAATAGGTTACAGCTCCCAGGGAGGCAACTGCAATCATTTAAAGCTTCACAATACACCCACAACTGGCTGAGCTGCACCTGCATCCACCAGTACCGATGCCAGGGACCACAGTTCTGGAGATGATGCAGCTGATTATTGCTAAGGTCCATGCAGCCAGATATCTGACTCTGTTGTTGTCCATACTGACAGATGTGTCTTTTTAAAGGTATCCACACTTGAGCCCTAAATACAAGGAGTCCTTCGATGTGGGTAGTGACATCTTTGCCAAGTTCTCAGCGTATATCAAGAATCCACGCAAAGAAGCAAATATCAGTAAGAAATGGTCGGTTGTGGGTGCAGGGGCCCCCACGTCTGCATAGCTTGTGGTTGTGGCTGTGGGGACCCATGCTGCTGAGGCAGGCTCCTAATGTACACCAGCCCTCAGAGGAAAGACCCCATGGGGAAGAAGGCTATCGATTTGCCTTGATGGGAGGGCAGCATTTTTGTTTGCAAGCATCTTGTTTGCTGACAGGTAATTCCTGCTACCAAGCTGGAGTTCCTGTTGCCTCAGGCTTGTTGTCTTCCTCACTAAAGCCTCCTTGGCAAGCGGAATAGCAGGCAGGAAGGATGGAGGCAGTCCTGCTGTTCCCTCCATGCTCCTTGGGGCTAACGACCCCAGCAAATGCAGTGCTGGGTGCAGATGCTAGCCAGAGGCCAGGACCTCTGGCAGCCAGCCCTGCTGTGGAAAGCAAATGCTGGAGGTCAGGTCCCAGAGAGAGGCAAGAAGAAAACGCTGTTATGCTGGTCCTGGCTTCTGGCTCCAGTTAGCAGAGCAGGGGCCCATCAGATCTAATCATAATATGGGGACATGACCAATGCTTAGATGCGTGTCATCCTATAGCCCTGCTCCCAGAGTTTGCATTGTGCATTCTCTGCTGCCTGGCAGGGATCCAGCTCTGTATACCACTGGCTTGGCCCAGAGGGCTTCATGCCCATACACAAAGTCTGGGAGAGGCTCAGCAACTCGATCAGAAGGCCTGGCACACTTCTGAGCCTGGCACTGTGCTGGGAGCTGAGGGGAGCCACCAGAGCTGGGTGTTGCAGGCTGACTCGGAGTGTTTTTCTGCCCACCTAGATTTTGAGAAGGCCCTACTGCGGGAGTTTCATCGCCTGGATCTCTACCTGAACACCCCTCTCCCTGAAGAGATTGACCAGGACAGCATGGAGGATGTCACTGTCTCCAAGAGAAAATTCCTGGATGGAGACCACCTGACATTAGCTGACTGCAACCTCCTGCCCAAACTGCACATCATCAAGGTAATAGTACTGGCTCCCAAGGGAGCCACTGCTCCAGGACCAAAACAGAGGGCACCCACCCCAGGAAGTGGTGATGGGACAGCGTAAAGGGCCTGGGGGTGGTGATGTGAGCATGGGGCCTGGGGCCCCCTGTTGTCCCCCCCCCCCCCCAAGCTGGGAAGCAAACATTTCTCAAGTCTCAGGAGTCTCAGCCTCCCTCTCTTCCCTCTGCTACCTGCCCCCTCTGCTCTAGATCGCAGCCAAGAAGTACCGTGACTTTGAGATCCCGGCGGACATGACAGGTGTCTGGCGTTACCTGCACAATGCCTATGCCTGCGATGAGTTCAGCCACACGTGCCCAGCGGATGAAGAGATAGAGCGCACCTATGCCAGCGTTGCCAAGAAGATGACCTAGTGCGGCTGCTAGAAGCACACTGGCAATACTGCCTCTGTCCAGACCCGCTATGTCTCCGTAGTCCTGATACAACCAAACCCCAGCTGAGAGAGGAACTGGAGGGGGATTTATGGCACCGTTAGCCACTGCCTTTTGGAAACAACGCCTTGCTTCACAGCCGCTGCTGTTCCCTCCTCCTCTACTGGCTGGCTGCAGCCCTGATAAGCACGCCATCACCACTGACCATGCTTATCGACTGGTCACTACCTGGCTGCAGTTGCAACTACTTCCCCGTCCCCCAAAGACCAATCTCCTTCTGGAGTTGCCAGTTTGGCCTTGAACCACACATCACTGAAAAGGTGACCACTAGCCTTTGGTATCAGCACCCTTGGGGGAAGAGATGAGATCTCAAACAGTCTTGCCAGCTACTGCCATGTTATCCGGTGCTGGAACTGCACGAGCATCTAGTGCCCTACTCTGCCTGGCCCTGGTCTCTGCGACTGCCAGCTCCACACAGGCCCAGCAGTCCTGTATGCTCAGGAAAAAGTGTCCAGGTGTCCAGGGATACCAGCACATCACAGGCTCATGGGAGGTATAGCTGTTTGAATTCACCTAGTCGTTCTCCTGCGCAGCACCCCAGAATCTGTAGCTGGTAAAGTGTCTCTTCCACTAAGGCATCCATGCTTGATCTGAAGACACCTAGAGGTTCCATACTCAGCAGTTTATTGCAGTAATTAACTACCCTCACTGCTAAAGGCAAAGAATTGTAACGTGCATACCCTTATGTAGGGGCATGTAGATTTTGGGGATGATAGGCAAAGAATTGTAACGTGCATACCCTTGTAGGGGCATGTAGATTTCGGGGATGATGCCTGGTGTGAGAGTGCCAGGACATGCCGTAGGTTGGGAAGGAGGTGCATGGGGGTTCTGTGGAGGGCTCAGAGCAGATGGCTCTGCTGAGTGTGCTGGGATCTCCTTGCAGACCAGCCTGGTGCAGCTATGGCTCCGCAGGTGTCGGGGCATTCCTCCTGAGCGTAGTAGTAGAACTGAAAGCACCTAGCTCCACATGCAGCTGGCTGTAAAGCCCACCTGGCTCCTGTGAGCTAAGAAACCTGTCTCTGCCCTGCCTAACACCATGGGAGATGCAGCTATGTGCAAACCCAACTCTACCACCACATCCCCAATCCCCATCAAAACTGAAGATGTCTGATTTGGAGAGGTGTAGGGTAGTACATTCATGTTGTTTCCACACCCCAGGACCAATCAGCCTGAGAGAGCAGGCAAAAATTGTTTTGCAAAGCATTGTTTTTGTAGGAGATACCTGGGCAGGTTTGGTGCCAGCCTACTGTCGTTGGCTCTTTTTGTCCCTTCCCATCCAGCATCTATGATGTAAAATGAATTGAAGCCACTCTGAATGGCTATGAGTTCTCATCTTCCCCCATTAGATACCTCCAGCTCCCCCCAGGGCTCCTGTCAGCCCTAACGAATTCAGCCAGCTCTCCCCAGCCTGCCCTCATGGGCAAAAAATACTGTAATCCGAGTGTAACGAGCTCTGCGGAGACACAGAGATGGCAGAATCACCCTCCAGATCTCACTACCGCTTCCCTCTTTGCACTAAAAGATGTGTCCTTGCAAGCCTGTTTCTGATAGCGCTGGGTTTGGGGACTAGTTTTGTTTTAAGGGATTTTGGTTGGTTGGTTGGTTGGTTGGTTTGTTTTTAACTAAGAACAGGAACAGCAATAAACTTTATTTTAATATGGCTTGTTTGTGTGTTGTCTGCACACAGGCCAAGGCTGCAGGGCATGGAGGCAGCTACAGTGGGTGGAGAGAAGGAAGGGATTTCCCCATGGTGGAAACCCTTTTGGGTTTTAACATAAGAGAAGCCATAACCCACAGTCTCTACCAACCTGGCACTGCTGAATCACCAGGCTGCATGTGGCCATGAGGTCCCTGCAGCATCTCTGCCCTGCTCGTAGGAGAGACATTCCCTTCCTGGGACACTCACATGCTTCACTGTGATCTACCCACATCCTGTGTGCAGCAGCAGGAGGAAACAGGGTCCTGCACAATGTGGAGACGGAGCAACCATGGGATGGAGCAAGCCAGGACACAGTGTTCAGCTGCAAGAGTTTTATTCAGTGAGGTGCCATTTCCTGCACTTGGCTCCTGCTGGTGGCCTGCAAGCCCCCCGCAAGGGCATGATGGCAGCTTTGCCTTGCCATGGCTGTAGTTTGCCCCACTGATCACCTGATATGCAGGGAAGCAGCCATGTGGCTGTGGGGGACACGCTGTCCTGGGCCCTGGACCCTCATGGGGCCTCTCCCCTTCCCTGTGACACCCCTCTCTGCTGCATATCCTCTCCCTTTTCCCCCACAAGGAAATGGAGACATTTCAAAGCGCTGTGGAAACCAAGGCACACTGTGGTGTGGTGGCCAGGCAGGGTCACATGCAGAGGGGCCAACCGGCAGCTGTTAGGGTAGAGGTGTCATGGAGCAGGCTGGCAGGCAGATGGCAGGCGGGGCTCCTCTTGTGTCCCTCATTTGGTGACACAGTATTTCCAGAAGCAAGCTGGAAGGGAAAGGAAAAGACACCTGTGCGAGGGGCTGTGGCACTGCTTGGCTACAGCAGAAAAGTTTAAAGGAAGAGAGACAGCCATCTCTTCTCCTCGACTCCCGTTCAGCCTTGCAGTCGGTTCTAAGAGCATAGACCAGGAGCTGGATGGTTCTGTCTTAGTCTGTACAATGGACACCCTCCACCCCCTGAGATGGGCACCCTCCACCACACGCTTGGCCCCCGACCACTGTGTACCCTTTGCAGGTCAGCTATCCAGAGCACTTTCTGGTTTGGGGTAAGATGAGAGCAGCCCTCTGTAGCATGGTGACCTCATGTGGCTGGACCCCAGGACCTAATGGGAGTCAGCACTCACCTCTCTTGTTGGGTTGTTGAGGGGCCTGGTCTGCATGGGTAAATCCCTGGCTCTGGAGCTCACTCACTGCCACTATCTTCCAGAGAACTGCCTTGAGGTCATCCACCTGCCACGGCAGAGGGTCACACCAGCCCCATCACATGTGTGCAGTGCCCATTCAGAGAAACCAGCCCCCAAGCCCCCTCCCCTCTCTGTCAGGCCGAGGAAGGAAGTAGTGTCAGCACCAACCTTTGCCTTTGAGCAAAGGTAGCCTCCAATTTACAGGCCCATAGGGATAGGGTTTTCTGGGACCTTGTGGGAAGCGGGCTCACAGAACTCCCCTGCCCAGCAGTATACCCCCTTGACTACTCTCCCCAAAGCCAGGGCAGCTTCCTCTACTCACCAGGCGGTCAGGAACATCTTCCTGGAGAGCATTTTTGTTTCCTGAAAAAACAGATATGTATGAAACACCATGAGCACACAGGTGCTGACAGTCTGGCACAATGGGCAGGAGCCAAGGGAACATATCTCAGGAGAAGGAGAGGGGAAGAGTGGACGTGGCACCGGCATCTGCTTCTCTCCATGCTCCTCTGGGGCCACCTAACCTGCAGCGCTCTTTCGTCCTGGATGTAGGCCTCCTCCTCTTCGAGAGCATCCAAATGACTACTTCTCTCCACACATGCCCTCACTCCAGTCCTGTCTCATGGTCCAGCTGGTCCTGAAGCCCAGGACTCACCTTGGACCTGACTGCTTTCCAGGCATGTCTCACTCCTTCCTGCAGCGCAGGAAAGAGCTGAATTCAGGCTCCTGGATGGTCAGAGCCCTGCCAAAGGCGTCTTGTCAGCCACAAAGCCAACTGAAATGTCAGCTAGGTTAAAATCTGTCAGCATAAGGTCTGAATTGAAGGGGGAGACAGTGACAAGGACAACGCAACTCCTTTGGGGTGTGCCTGCTCCTTGGGCAGTGGGACTAAGAGCCTGAACATAGCATTGACTATGGTTCCTAAGAGTGAGAGGCAGGTTGTGGGAGGAGGCCTGGGGATCTTTGTCTCCTTATCTGGTTGTGAATGGTGGCCTGGGCTGGGAATCAAAATGTTAGCCTGTGAGACAGCTGGGAGCAAGACTGCTTCTCTGCATAGGAGAATGAATTACCCTGTGTTGCCTTCAGCATGACCACAATGGGTGGGTGAGGAAGGGTCGCCATTAGCTGCTTGGGCCCCTCAACCTTGGAGAATGGCTAGCAGCATTCCCCGGTGGCCTTGCTTAGTTAGGCTTCCGCAGTGGTGCGGACTGGGAGGGTTAAATCCAGACCCTCTTTATCCCAAACAACATGTCAGGTAAACGCAAGCACAAATCTTGCCCAGCTGAGTTTGTCTCATAGCCTCTCTGTATTGCTTTGAGGAAAGGACAGTCCGAGTCATCACAGGAAGAAACATTAGGTGCATGTCGAAAACTAAGGCACCAAGCCTTTGTTGTCTAACTATGTTTAATTAGAAACCACTGGGTGTGTCCCGTGCTTTCCAGCATCTTCCCCTTTGACCCACTGCTCTTCCAGTGCCTGCTGAGCCCATGCACAACCCCACAGGATGCTCCCACTGAGCTCTGCAGGATCAGGGGCTCTGGGAACTGAGGAATCCCAAGAACTTGGCCGTGGACATATTTTCCTTGCCTCAGACATACATCCAAGTTACTGCAGTTTTGGAAGTCCCCATGAGTCAGCCAAGTGACATGAAGAGCCCATATGCATACTCATTTCCCAGAAACACTGGGCAACATGTCTCAGCTGGGGCCCACTTATGTGGGCTGTGCAAGGTTCCACTGTTGCAACCTAATGGCAGGATCAGAGCATGAATACAATTTCCAGTTTCTGCTGCCTTGCAGAGGTTCCTGAGATGTAAGGCTGAACTCATACTTTCTTTTAGAGCTCAGGCTCCCTATCAAAATGACCTCTTCTCCCACAGCAGGAAGCCCACTCTGTCTAAACAAGTGCTTGCTTGCTGGTCAGTACTAGCACATGCAGACCAGGCCCATAGATACCCCCTTTGGAAAAGGTTCCCCCCAGGTGTACTTTTGGATGCAAATGGTGTCATTGGCCCCTAGGTCCAGCAGACATGGGCTCTGCTACCTGCAGTTCCCTTGGGCACTAGCCAGCATTAAGTGATCACATAGCTGGGCACCAAGCAGCAGTAGAACCTCGAGCACGCTGTGCAGGCAGCCAGCACTGGGATGCCAGGTCTCACAGCACTCTTTCAGGGAGGCTCCCACCAACACTGTGACCATGAACAGAGCTCGTCCTATCTCAAAGGTCACTCATCATCTACATCTTGCTCTGCACATGAGCTGTGATTCCCTCATCTCCACATAGGAAGTCAGAAGAATAGTGAGTCTACAGTGATGTTTTGTCTATACCTCAGACTGCCTCACTCCAAGGGCAATTGCATCTCTCGTACCAGAATACATGAACACACCACTCAAACTCTGCTATCTGCAAATCACAGCAGCCGAAGCAGTCCCTCATGAACAGGCTAGTCTTCTCTTGCTCAACCTGGTCACCCTATGAGTCTAACTACTTAACCCTACTGGATGTACAATAGCCCAGACAATACTAGGAAACCCCCTTCCCAGGCCAGAAGACCTTTCTGCCAAAGAGAAAAGGGGGAAAGATGCACTACTGTGCATGTCTGGAGCAGACAGACCCACATGAAACATTAAATCGGGGGCTAACAAATTGAGCCGGCAGTCAGTGCCAGTCATAAAATGGTGCACAAGGTAAAACCCCACCTGGGTTACAGGTATAAACATGCAAGTTGGTTGCCCTTACCTTGGACACCATTGCTTTCAGGGTAGACAGGATAAGCGTTAATGCAGCAAGCCTCCAACAGTACTGCCAAGGTGACTACCAACATCTGGGAAGGCATCTTCTCTCTTCTCCAAACTGTGACCGATTTCCCAGGAGCCTGTAAGTGATGGAGCGTGAAGAGGTTCTCTTTTATGCCCTCCAGCCTCATTCAGCTCTCTGTAATCAATATGCTGTCGTTAGATGCGTTGTCTTGTCTTCTGAGTTGGCCATTCATCCTAATGACAAGAGACAAACGGCCCTGCTCTCTCCCCTGTTCGATCTTCACTTGATCATACTTGACAAGGAGCTTTGAAAAATGCTTGGCTGGGATGTCAAAAAACACCACTGTTTACCAAGGCCTTGCTGTGCTGGGGGAGGAGTGGCTAAGGAAGACTGTACAGGCTAACCGTGCCCCTGGTAGGGTCTGGCCAAGGCTGAACAGGGATCAGAAGAGGACATGGGGGCTGATACCTGAAGCATACAGAGCCACGCTTTCTTTTCACATGACATTGCTCCCCAAAGGTCACCATATGTCTTCCACCCCTTTCCTTTCTGCTGGAAGGACCAGGGCAGTGATGAAGCTTTCCCTTCGAGGGCATCTCGAGTTGATGTGCACCAGGTGCCCCGTTCTCTAAAGACAGGATCAGGTAAGGTATAATGCTCCTCCTCAGCAGACAGCGGCAGCTGGAGCTTCCTTGCTAAGGTAGTGTTTGGCCTTGCTGATGTTCAGAGGAGCCTGTCTCTTTGTCTCACAAGCTGTCAGTAAAATTCCCCCTTCCAGAGGAGGACAAAACCAACACAGTGTCTGAGTTCTGACAGTCTCAGCCCCTTTAGATTGGGAACGTCTAGGCCAGTAAGTCACTGCACGTTGAAGGTACTCTTGCTGGCTTTCACACTAGCATGCACACTGTGCAATTTATAGACAGTGCTGGAATCTGGACATTTTCGATTTGGATTTAAAGGTTTTTTCCCTCTTGAGAAAAAGC